CACACACACACACACACACACACACACACACACACACACACAAACACACACACACACACACAAACACACACAAACAAACACAAACAAACACACACACACACACACAGAGCAGGTGTTTATGCTGGACACTCCACATGAATCTGCTGAAGCTCTAGAGACTGTGCTGGAGTCTCACTCACCGGAGGACGAGGTCAGAGCCACTGGACTGGTCATCACCGGGCTCTGCTGGGCCGTGTACGGCGGCTCCTGACCCACGTGAGGAGAGCTCAGATACGCTGAGAGGGAGAGAGAGAGAGAGAGACACACACACACCGCTGACTGGAGAAGTTACATGTGATCAGCTACACACATAAAAGAAGGAAAACCTGTTTCTCCTCATTCAATATGTAATTCAGTATAACTCAACATAATTAAAGCAAAAATGTGCTTCAATATATTTTCATGTAATTCAATAAAATAATAATTAATATTATTTTTATTATTATTATCATCAAACACTCATTTACACAATAATAGTAGTATTGCAATAGCACTATATTTATTGATTTGTTTAATTTGTTAATTTAAATAGTAATGAAACAAAACATTATTTTGAATAATAATAATGAACATTATTATTAATACTATTTTTATTTTACAGTACAATAGTACTATTATTGCAATATTCATATATTTTTATTGAGTTGCTTAATTTTTATAATTTAAGTAATGAAACAAAAATATTATTTTGAATAATAATAATCATTATTATTATTATTAAATAATCATTTATTTTACAGTGCAATAGTATTATTGCAGTAGCAACATTTTCATTGATTTGCTTCATCTGTATTATTTAAATAACAATGAAACAAAATATTATTTTGAATAATTAACTATTTTTATTTTACAATAGAATAGTATTATTACACCAGAAATATATTACTTTGAATTTTTTATAATTTAAATATTATAATTTGAATAATAAAAATGAAAAGATGTATTATTATTATTATTATTATTGTGTAGCCATATTTAATTATTTATTGCTCTTAGCTGATAACAAATCCGTGAAGATATCCATGCATGAAATACAGCTATTTTAAACACAGTCTGCCCATAAAATACTGCAGTTATACCATGGTACTCCAGTAATACTATGGTACTTTACTTTATAAACACCATGGTATGTTCCGGTAAGTGTGATTACAATACGCATATACCCTAATATTTACATGGTTCGCGCGTAACTCAAATGAGACCGTGATTTGAGTAGTTTACGGTAACAAAAACACGGTAACCGAGTCCAAACCCGGAGAGCAAAGCCGTTCCCGTGCAGTGTTTGTGTTCGAGTCCGGGCTCTTACCGATCGCACACGTGGAGTAAATGTCCAGCAGCAGCAGAAGCAGCATCACATACGAGCTCATGATGTTCCGTCCGCGCTCAAAAACCCGTTTCGGTCCGTTCACCGTCATCCCAAACACCGCCGCCGATGGACTTCCAGCTTCCGCTCACATAAAAGTCCCAACGGCGACTAAATCACGTTACTTCAAAATAAAAGTCTAACCAAGCACACTTTTGCTTTAAGTTACTGGATAATATCTATCCACCTAGCTCCAAAAATTATGTGAATTTTGTAAAACTGAGAAAAAAACTTTGCTTCATTCATTCTAGCATTGTTTAGAATTCAAAGTTCCCCTTTTGTAAAAAAAAAAAAAAAGAAAAGAAAATGTGGTTTAAACTTTTCGCTGAATCATATATTTTTCTGCCATTAACCATGCTGTTGAATTTCTTTGTTTTCATTAATTTTGTAACAAAATATGAATCAGAAATGTTTCTTGAGCAGCAAAGCAGCATATTAGAATGATTTCTGAAGATCATGTGACACTGAAGACTGGAGTAATGATGCTGAAAATACAGCTGCGCATCACAGAAATAAATTACAGTTTAACAGATATTCACACAGAAAACAGCTGTTTGAAATTGCAATAATATTTCAAATTTTTACAGTATTTTGGCTCAAATAAATGCAGGCTTGCTGAGCAGAAGAGACTTCTTAAAAAAATCGTACTGTTTAAAAACTTTTGACTGGTAGTGTATTTGATAAAGCTTCCAAATGGACAAATGATAAACATGATGGTGATTCTTCGAGTCTTTATTGCAAACCTTCAGAACTCCGACACCAAACCATCATTTAACAGCCAACTAACACAACACAACCCTCCATTCACAGAACATCCTCTTTTCCCTTCATCCGTCCCGTCTCCAGCCGTTCCTCTCAGAAGTCCTCCTCGGCGCAGCGGCAGCGGGACAGTCTGAGGAGCATCAGTCTCTGCATCACCTCCTCCACGCTCTGCTCTCCGTGCACCTTGTTGTCTCTGGTTCTCACGTTCACACTGTTAGCGGCGCGCTCCTTCTCGCCCACCACTGCTCAACAAACACATATCAGAGCGTGCATTCGAGAGCGGAGCGTCAAACTCACTCAGACGCTCGCTGCTTACCCAGGATGAAGTTATACTGGGCCAGCTGCGCGCTGCGGATCTTCTTGTTCAGAAGACAACCAGAGTCCAAATCAGCATCGGCCATAAAACCAGCTTCAACAAACCGCTCACAGACCTGGAACGGGAGGAAGAGCAAGCAAGGTATTCTCATGAAACATGAGCTTGAGCTCAATAATGACACTACTGTCTTTTCAGAGCTGCTTGACCCGCAGAATCCACATTTGTCTCATATTTGTGACCCTGGACCACAAAACCAGTCTTAAGTGTCAACCTGAAAGCTGAATAAATGCGCTTTCCAGTGATGTATGGTTTGTTAGGGTTTGTTAGGATAGGACAATATTTGGCTGAGATACAACTATTTGAAAATCTGGAATCTGAGGGTGCAAAAAAATCTAAATATTGAGAAAATCATCTTTAAAGTTGTTCATATGACGTTCTTAGCAATGCATATTACTAATCACAAATTAAGTTTTGATATATTTACGGTAGGAAATTTACTAAATATCTTCATGGAACATGATCTTTACTTAATATCCTAATGATTTTTGGCATAAAATAGAAATGGATAATTTTGCCCCATACAATGTATTGTTGGCTATTGCTACAAATATACCCCAGAGACTTAAGACTGCTTTTGTGCTCCAGGGACACATCTGATGAAGTTTGCAATGCAAGAATAGCAGAATAGCTTTAAAAATCCTCTAAAACATTTTTGTTCCTAGTTAGACACACACTGATCTCAGTACTGATTTGAGCAGGTTGCATTGCTTCTCTAAATCATAAATAATCTACTAGATAAATCTGTGTATTTGCTCTAATAATTATTACATCTCAGTTATCTCAGTAATAATAAGTACAACCAGAACTTAACCTAATATTTATTCAATTTTCAGTAAGCCTTAGAGATTAATCATTGAAACAAAAGCTAAAATGACAAAAATAAAAATACATGATAATTAAATAGTTTTTTAAACATAAAAACGAATAAACACTATCAAACAATTTGAGGAAGGATACTAAAACTAAAACTGAAATTCAGTTTATGAAAATAATACAAAAACTAATTTCAAAAAGCAATACTATGATAACACTGCTTTGCATCGAGTCTGTTATTTTAAACAATCTGTGCTTTAGAAATAAAGGCGACTCATCTAAAATCCTGCTCATTTTGCTCACCAGAAATTAAATGCACATTATTTTCAGCGATTATGGACACAGTCGCTTTCTATTCGTATGGACATGCACTGATGAATTGTTCACAATAACAGCAGGAACCTCCTTTTCAGCTTTAAAAACAACAGGCAGCAGGTTTTGAAACACGAAACCATAGTTAATCAATTGTCCCGGTATTATTATGCACTATTCATCAGTGCATGGTACACTCTCAGAAAAAAAGGTACAAAAGTTGTCACCTTTTCAAAAGGCACACCTTTGTACCTAAAGAGTCCATATTGGTACCTAAAAGGTACAAAAGTGTACCTTTTGAAAAAGTACCGCCCCAGTGACAGCTTTTGTACCTTTTTTTCTGAGAGTGTATTATAAAGATGTACATGCACATTATGGAATCATGTTTTTTTCATCCTCTGAAACAACTTGTCTTTAACATGTTTCACAACCAGTCAAATCTCCACAGTCTCTGTTGTTCAGTGACTGATCTCAGAGCAGATGTTGTACCTGTTTGGCGTACTCTTCTAGAGACGGGTTCACAGGCACCAGCATCACCTGACGTGGAGACAACCACAGCGGCCTGACCAAACACACACACACACACACACACACACACACACACAAGTGTCAACTACATCTCATTACATATGCAAAGAGGTTGGCCAATCGCAGCAGACTTAAGATATTAACATATAAAAGTTTTAAAGACACAGCAGCAAAATTAGCCTTTAATGTAACAGTGATTAAAGGTTAAGTGAGACCATTATAAATGGCTGTAAAAACTAAATTGTGTTGAGAAATTGTGTTATTTATTAATTTTTATTTTTTCAATTTTATTTTAAAGTTTTAGTAATTTTGTTATGACACACACACACACACACACAGCTTAATGACACCAAGTGTCAACTACATCTCATTACATATGCAAAGAGGTTGGCCAATCGCAGCAGACTTAAGATATTAACATATAAAAGTTTTAAAGACACAGCAGCAAAATTAGCCTTTAATGTAACAGTGATTAAAGGTTAAGTGAGACCATTATAAATGGCTGTAAAAACTAAATTGTGTTGAGAAATTGTGTTATTTATTAATTTTTATTTTTTCAATTTTATTTTAAAGTTTTAGTAATTTTGTTATGTGCTTTCTTTCATGTTAGTTTTTGCCTTTTAAAATAAGTCAATTTAGTGTCATTTTTATCTCAGTTTTAGTTTTAGTCATTTTAGTGCTTCAACTTATTTTGCTGCTTCTGGTGCCTTCAAAATAAAAGTCCTATTAAATTTCATATAATGCCCCTATTATACATCCCCAAATAACATGGATGTTGAATGTGCTTTAAAGAATAAGACAATTATTATTTTTTTGTCTTTCTTTTCCAGAATATGTTATTTAATATGTTAAATAATATATATTTATAAAGCGGAGAGTTCTGGTGCTTGGTTCTGATTGGCTGAGACGCGTTCGAAGCTGTTGTAAATGACTCTACAAAGTAACATACACCTTTGTTTACGTTTATGGAATAACCGTTTTATAAAAGCAATAAGCCCCGTGAAGCCGTGGTTTACAGTGAATTTATAACAGCTAAGCTAACAACGCCCCTTAGCTGTTATAAATTCACTGTAAACCACGGCTTCACGGGGCTTATTGCTTTATTTCAATTAATCTTTACTATCAACCGACTGTTTTAAATCAGATGTAACACTTGATTATTTTCTCAACACAAAATATATGACAGCACCCGACCTGACCCACTCAAATATCACAGCTACTACAATAAAACTAGTATTAATCACCACTGTCATCAAAATGATTTCATTCATTACAAAGATTCTGAACGCCTCTTAATTAATTTGAAGGAGATCTGTAAAAACTACTATAGTATTTTGTTATTTTCTTAACTTTATTTCAATTACCGAAATCGATTTCTTAGTTTTCGTTCAGAATAACGGAAATGGTTTGTGCTCCTCACCATTTCCCGGCGTAGTTCTCGGTGAGGATGGCGATCATTCTCTCCACGGAGCCCAGGATGGCGCGGTGAATGATCACGGGTCGGTCCTTGTCATCGCCGTCTCTCCTGCAGCGGTTCAGACGATTAAACTCTGATTCACAGCCGTGTGAGCGTTCACAGCCAATCTGAGCTCTACTCACCCCACATACGTCAGGTTGAAGCGGACGGGAAGCTGGAAATCCAGCTGAATCGTGGCACACTGGTGATAACGGCCGATGGCGTCTTTAATCTTAATGTCAATCTACAACACAAGAGATGAGTATTATTCCTGCAGAACAGTTTGAGATGATTCATGGTTTGGGTTTTAAAAAAAACCCAGAATAACATGAAATCAGTGATATTTTAGTATTATCTATCTATCTATCTATCTATCGATCTATCTTTGTGACCCTGGAGCACAAAACCAGTCATAAGGGTCAATTTTTCGAAATTGAGCTGTATGCATGAGCTGAAAGCTGAATAAATAAGCTTTCCATTGATGTATGGTTTGTTAGGATAGGACAATATCTGGCCGAGATACAACTAATCTGAAGGGTGCAAAAAAATCTAAATATTGAGAAAATCATCTTTAAAGTTGTCCAAATGAAGTTCTTAGCAATGCATATTACTAATCAAAAATTAAGTTTTGATATATTTACGGTAGGACATTTACAAAATATCTTCATGGAACATGATCTTTACTTAATATCCTAATGATTTTTGGCATAAAAGAAAAATCAATAATTGTGACCCATACAATGTATTGTTGGCTATTGCTACAAATATACCCCAGCGACTTAACACTGCTTTTGTGCTCCAGGGTCACATTTATATAAAATTAGCTTTT